TTCAAGTACTGATAATATAAAGTACATGAACAGTCACTTAAGTACTGATGATATGAAGTACATGAATAGTCACTTAAGTACTGTTGATATGAAGTACATGAACAGTCACATAAGTACTGATAATATGAAGTACACGAACAGTCACTTGAGTACTGATGATATGAAGTACATGAACAGTCTCTTGTATATGAACAGCCATTTAAGTACTGATAATATACAGTACATGAACAGTCACTTAAGTACTGATATTATGAAGTACATGAACATTCACTCAAGTACTGTTGATATGTAGTCCATGAACAGTCACTTGTATATGAACAGTCAATTAAGTACTGATGATATACAGTACATGAACAGTCACTTAAGTACCGATAATATGAAGTACATGAACAGTCACTTAAATACTGTTGATATGAAGTATACGAACAGTCGATTAAGTACTGATGTTATATAGTACATGAACAGTCACTTAAGTATTGACAATATGAAGTACATGAACAGTCACTGAAGTACTGATGATATAACGTACATGAGTAGTCACTCAAGTAACAGTCATCTCAGAAGATGGGCTATATTCATGTATAAATCAACCAATATATAATATAAGAAATCAACCAACACATAATATAACATACACAGAATTACTAACTTGCTTGTAAGAATAAACCCAGTCATGAAGCACCCAGACGATTCTCTAATCATAATGTGCAGACAATTATTAGATTACAAATAAGGGCATAGGCGGTAGACCTAACAATCAATGGCACTCAATCACAGACGAGTGCAATCGAATCACATGCACAGCACAAACAAGCAGGTTCCAACAAAGTACAATCTACAAGAATATGTACACTGAGGTACCCGAAGTAGGTAGACCTAACAAGGGTGTGGAAATCAAAGGCACCGAATCACAGACGAGTGCAATCGAATCACAAGCAAAGCACAAAAAAGCAGGTTCCAACAAAGTACAATCTACAAGAATTTTTACACAGAGGTACCCGAATTAGGTAGACCTAACAAGAGTGTGAAGCCAACGTCAATCATAGACGAGTGCAATCGAATCACAAGCGAAGCACAGACAGACAGGTTTCAACAAAGTGCAATCTAGAAGCATCTGTACAGTGAACTCTCTGTTGACGTTTACTTTAGTACCGACTCCGCTAAGGAATGGCACATATGTCGTATACCTTGCACATATGTGTAGCATACCTATCTACTGTGACGGTCCCACTTGCCCTTAAGGTAATCGACGCAAAAGTTAGTGATGCACTCTAAAACCCATGGAGTATAACAACAAAACACACGCGTACGAAGGCACTCTTCATGATACTGAGACATACAGGTGTATGGGTGGTAGTAATAAGCAACGCTTGTACTGTTCACCTATGTCCAATGCTTCTAGGTGATCCGCACGGTATGTTTACCCACTTCGTACTGTAGTCTGTACACTGTTGAAGACTTGAAGGACCTTCCCTCTTTTTAAATAAATAAATAGATAAATGCCCACAAGTGGTATTTAGGACTCAGGTCTCAGTGGTAACAGGGCCTTAGAGTTTAGGGTTTAGGGCTTAGGGTTTAGGGTTTAGGGCTTAGGGTTTAGGGTTTAGGGCTTAGGGTTTAGGACTCACGCCACACCCGAGCCCACCAAATTGACTGGTGAGTGGTGACATCAATACACAATAATATTTTTTTTTGAAATTACATCATACCCTGCATGCATAGTCTGTCAGGGATTCACATGATGATTGATGACTACATAATTTATATCGTAAATACTTGCACTATGATTAGTATTAATAAAGAATATATCACATTACAGTATTATTTATAATATATATGTATGTACTTACTTGTTGCTATTATTAGTTTATATACATTCACTAAAGCACAAGGAATAGCATACACATAGTCATACACATACACATACACCAACACACACACACACATACACATACACATACACATACAAAAGATGACCACCGCATCAGATAACAAGACCGTCTGGATCCTCAACTACGGGGCTGGCAATGTGCGGTCACTGGTGAATGCAGTGGCCCATCTGGGCTACACACCCAAGTACATCACATCGCCTGAGCAGCTGAAAGATGTTAACTGCTTGATCTTCCCGGGAGTGGGTGCGTTTGGCAGGTATGTTGTAGTATGCTTGTCTGACGAGTTGGTGTGTGCGTGTGCATGTGCATTGCATGGCTTCCACACGCTCCAGTAGTGATGTGTAGTGTATACGTGAGGGTACTGATTTGACACGAGTGCATATCGAAAGGTAGATTAAGCCCGTATGTTGAACATATATGCTGGCTTCAAAGTCACTGAGCCACAGACGATAGTAGCTCTATAAATGAATGGGAGGGCTATATATGACAAATATGCGCTTTGATTGGAGATACCAGCTTATATTGTGTTGTCTCTGGATCTGTCAATTGGAGTAGTTGGCCAACTCTTACGGTGTACAAAGTATATATATATATACTAAGTATACAAACATACATACATACATACATACAATTATATATATATATATATATATATACTACGTATATATATATATATATATACTACACACACACACACATATATATATATATATA